ATGTCACAGATTTTTTACAACTAATTTTAGATACAGGCTGCAAATAAAAAACAAAAACATTTATCTTATCAGTCTTCTGACACTGAATTCTTACAGTGTTTTCTTCTGAAAAAGTTTTTATTTACCCTTCTTTTCTAAGTAATTTATTCTGGATACAGAATTTAGGCCAACAGTTTGTCCCTGCCCACCCCCAGCCTCTTACCCCTTCCCTCCTTCTAGTTCTTCCAAGGACTTCTATTATTACACTTAGAGAGACAAGGAGAAAGAAGTGAGACAGAAAGCAAAAAATCACCCTACTGGGTGTGTGTGTGTGTGGCCACACTGCAATCCCTTCTCTATTCTCCTCTTAGGATCTTGGGCACACCTGCACATGTGGCCCGTGTGAGTTGTAGGCCACCGGGACTCAAATCGAAGTCAGCTACGTGGGAGTCCAGCGACGTAACCATTACACATCTGCTGGTCTCTCATTATTTTTTTTTCAAATACAGATTTTTGTCTTAGGGACTATGCGTTCATCAGAGAGAGAGAAAGAGAGAGACAGACAAACAGAACGAGAGGGAAGGTGAGAAATCACCCTGGGGATGGCCATGCCGCAATCCCTTCTTTTCCATTTTCCTCCCAGGATCTTATTGTGCTGGGCATGATTTTGAAGACACCAGATCCAAGACCCAAACTGCAGGTGGCCACTTGTATGTCCAGCAACTTAACCAGTACGCTCTCTGCTGGCTCAGAGGCACTCGTCTTTAAAAATCTTTTTCTGGGGACCAGCAGGTGACTTGGTGGTTGGGGCACTGGACACTCCCACATGGCCAACCACAATCCGGGACCTGGTGGCTTGCTTTCTCACTTCCCTCTCTCTCTCTCTTTCTCTCTCTGGTCAAAACAAAAACATTTATCTTATCAGTCTTCTGACACTGAATTCTTACAGTGTTTTCTTCTGAAAAAGTTTTTATTTACCCTTCTTTTCTAAGTAATTTATTCTGGATACAGAATTTAGGCCAACAGTTTGTCCCTGCCCACCCCCAGCCTCTTACCCCTTCCCTCCTTCTAGTTCTTCCAAGGACTTCTATTATTACACTTAGAGAGACAAGGAGAAAGAAGTGAGACAGAAAGCAAAAAATCACCCTACTGGGTGTGTGTGTGTGTGGCCACACTGCAATCCCTTCTCTATTCTCCTCTTAGGATCTTGGGCACACCTGCACATGTGGCCCGTGTGAGTTGTAGGCCACCGGGACTCAAATCGAAGTCAGCTACGTGGGAGTCCAGCGACGTAACCATTACACATCTGCTGGTCTCTCATTATTTTTTTTTCAAATACAGATTTTTGTCTTAGGGACTATGCGTTCATCAGAGAGAGAGAAAGAGAGAGACAGACAAACAGAACGAGAGGGAAGGTGAGAAATCACCCTGGGGATGGCCATGCCGCAATCCCTTCTTTTCCATTTTCCTCCCAGGATCTTATTGTGCTGGGCATGATTTTGAAGACACCAGATCCAAGACCCAAACTGCAGGTGGCCACTTGTATGTCCAGCAACTTAACCAGTACGCTCTCTGCTGGCTCAGAGGCACTCGTCTTTAAAAATCTTTTTCTGGGGACCAGCAGGTGACTTGGTGGTTGGGGCACTGGACACTCCCACATGGCCAACCACAATCCGGGACCTGGTGGCTTGCTTTCTCACTTCCCTCTCTCTCTCTCTTTCTCTCTCTGGTCAAATTAAAATGAAGGAATGAATGAAAAAAATAAATAAATCTTTTAAAAAAATCTTTTTCTCCCTCTCTGCACTTTACTGCTGTAGATTCAAGACTACCGATCTTTTTCTCTGCTATGAATTCCATCAAATGGCATTTTCACTTCAGATGTTGTTTTTCATCTAAGTCCATCTGCATTTAAGTATCTTCTCATAGTCTTCTCATTGTTCATATAAACACAATTACGTTTGTTTCAACATGCTTGTCTGCAAATTCAATCATGCTTGGGTCTGTTTGACAATTTCCTACACTCCATGTTTGACTGAATGCTGGATATGAAGCATTTTGTTGAGTATCTGAGTTTTGTGGATGTCTTTTATTGCCACTAAGTTATTTGTAATTTAGGTTTTTCCTTTCAAGGCTTGTTTTTAGTTTTTCAAAGTTGTATACAATAGCCTTACTCTAGGGATATTCACACTACAAAGGCAAGGTTCTTCTGGAATCTCTACTGCCTGGAATTCACAAGGACATCGTGTTCCCGCTGAGAGAAAAGTGAACACAGCCCTCAATGAACGCTGAGTACTGCTCAGTTCAGTTTCCCCAGCTACCCTGCATGACTTGTTCTGCATTTCGTCCAACACACATGCTAGCGCTCACCTAAAGCTCAAGGGAACTTCCTGTGTGGGTTTGAGCTCTTTCTCTGATGAGCTTGTCCTCTTCAGCACTCTGCCCTGCATCTAATTTCCAGTTCTATTCATGAGCACCACCATCATAGGCTTAGCAGGGCTAGAAAAATTATATTTATTTATAAGATCCTTTCTTTAAAAAAATTTCTAGAGGGTTATGTGCACTCACCAGAGAGAAATAGACAGACAGACAGACAGAGAGAGGAAGAGAAAGACAGAAAGCAGCCCCCATACGGAATGGGCACGCCACGATCCCTTCTAATCCATTTATCTCTCCTTTTGGGATTTTGGGAAAGAATGCAAAATTAGGTAGGAAAAAATTATGGGGATCATAAAATTCAAATACTACCTTAAGTAGCTCTGAAGACTGAAACAGGAATGAACCGGCACTGCCGTTAGAATCCTAGCTTTAAGGAGCCAGCTCAGTGGCTCAGCGGTAACACGCTGCTCGAGAGAGGCCGGGTCCCATATGGTGACCTGGCTTAAACCCCTGGTCTGCTCAGCCTGCAATACGCTGAGCATGTGTGCAAATGCCTGTGATCTGACGGGCCGGAGGACCAGAGAACGGCCCGCCGTGTGGCCAGACCCCGTGGAGGGCTCTCCTTTCTCTTGCTCTGCTTCTCACACGCGCAGGTGTGTTCTCTATCATGATGAAGGAAAAATATTCTAGCATTAAGATGACAAAATAATCACACAAAAACGGAAAGAAACAGTTTCACATTTCCAAACATCAACCCAAATAGCAGAGCTATACAAAAACAAAACAAAACAAAAATGAGGATTTAAATAACTTTATTGTGGGCCGGCTGGTAGTATGGTGACTGAAATGGCTGAATTTCACATGGCCAACTGCTCAGTTTGAGTTCTGGATCCAGGGGGGTCAAAAAACCTGCCGTGTGGGGACCAGCAGATGGTGTAATGGCTATGTTGCTGGACTCCCATGTAGTCGACCGATGTTCGAGTCCTGGACCCGATGGCTTAAACTCAAGCTGGGTGCGCGTGTGTGTGTGTGCCCAAGATCCCGAGAAGGGAATGGAGGAGAAGGGATTGCAGCATGGCCATCCCCCCTGGGGGTGATTTCTCGCTTTCTGTCTCTCTGTCTCTCTCTTTCTGGTGAGTGCACATGCTCTGCACACATAGCAAAAACCTCTCAAAAAAAAAAGCTCTGTGTGTGTGTGTGTGTGTGTGTGTGTGTGTGTGTGCACGCGCGCGCCTGAAATCCTAAAAGGAGGCCAGAATGGAAAAGGGATTGCCATGTGACTATCCCCCTCAGGGTGGCTGATGGGAAGGGGCTTGCTTTCTCACTGCACCAGTCATCATTTTTAAGTGCTTCAGTCTTTTACTATCTATGCGAACATGCAATTGTTTTACATGCTTTTAAACTGCATATGAATAGTACATAATAGGAGCCACTCTGCAACAACTCTTTTTTGCTCAATGTTGCTTTTCAGACACCCACGTCTATCTATCTTATCTGCTTCAGGTACTTTATTCCGTGAAATCGCCCTGTGTACTTATCCACCTTTTGCCGATGGACATTAAAGTGGACTCCAATGGTCACTCCTACACACCATACCATTGTGAGGTTTTTCTGTACACGCGCTTTCAGAATAGAAGCCTACAGAAAAAACTGCCTGGCTGCAGGGATGGAACATCTACATTGAATTTAAACTATCCTCTGAAGTTGTACCAGTCAAACTACCAGCAAGAGGAGGAAAGTTGTCTTTGACTACGTTTTTGCCAGCACCTCGCACCGTTCAACTTTGTGTTTTCCCCCCAAATTGACAAAGAAGCAGAGCCTCAAGGTTTCGGCTAGCCTCTCCCTGGTTCCTAGTGGCGTCGGGTCTCTGTTCACTCAAGGTTACTGGGCCTTCCGTGTGTCTGCTCTCTGCAGTCTCCCAGTGGAGGTGAGGCAAGAGGACTTACATAATAAGCAGCATGAAGTAAAACACAAATACATAAATGAAGCTTTACGATCAAACCGAACTTTTGTAGCCGAGTGCAGGCATGTAAGAACTGCAGGTGCTGGTACAAGGGGCATCGGGAAGGCGGAAGAAAGCAGTGTGGAAACTCCCCAGTTAACTGCAAAAGGGTACTGTGATAGTACAGAGTGGGCTTTCAAAGAAATAAACATAGAGAAGTACTGTAATTCTGATTTTATGTTATTTAAAATGAATGACCGGCCTTCAGACACTGTGAGATTTGGACAGTAGAGAGGAGGTGGAGAGAATCTGGACAAAGGTATATTTTAAAACAACTACTGAATCCCATTCTCTTCCGTTTACACTTGACTTCTCTTCGTGATATTCCTCTGTAGTCACTTGGAAAATGAAAATATTGGGTCATTTTTTTGCATAGAAAAACAGAAAAATACGTCAGGACTTTTCTGACGACCCAGTATTTTCTTTTGATTAGATCTGCAACTCACTAAATACTTGTTATTGGCTAAGAAAATGTTTCCTGAATTACTCTGTATTACTGTAAGAGCTACTTACTAGTCCCCATCTTTTCTAGCATTTGCTATATTGCTTCAAATAGTCTACATAAAAAATGGTTAAAAAATAAGTCAATATTTTTACTTCACAATGAATAAGATAGGCTTCTGCATCTATTTTTCTTTCTCACCTGCTTTAACTGAAAATGGCTTTTCCAACAGAAACACTGTCTGTTTCCAGTGTGTTCTGGTGCTCTGGGGTCCTGTAGAGAACACGACCTGCAATGGTAAAATTCAAAAGTGTCTGATGAAGTAGAAGATTTTTCATATCATGGTACATTAATCTACTACATCGAATACATGCGACAATTGCTTACAAGGGCAAAATGCTTATGATCAAATACCTCGGGGCACAAAAGTAAAATACAATGTACTTTGAATAATTAATTCTTACAAGATAAATCATGATACTCACCCTGTTCTGGCAATTCTTCTCAAAATATATATCGAAGTAGCCAGCGATTGCCTGTTTTTTTTTGGTTTGTTTTTTTTTTTAAAAAGAAAGGAATAGAAATAATTATTAATTACATGATGTAATAATGATTCAGTCTTTTAAGACACGGCAAATAAGAAACCATTTCAAAGACGAGATAACTTAAACTTACGGCAGGTCACTTTCTCCTGGAAGAGATGTTGTAAGTGAAAATAAAATATAATTTAGCTTTTTCCTATAGAGATAACATAATAATGAGTGCAACAAAGCTACTCTAATAATCAGTATGAGTTTTACAGGAGAAAAGATCACACGAGCCTTCCTCAAGGGGAGAAAGTGCACGCCTGGCTGGGCTGGGCTTGCTGACGGAGGCTGCCCTGTGAGAGGACAACGTGGACGCTCAGCTCAAGCCAAGCTCCCAGACAGTTGTAGCCACAGGAGGAACTCAAGGAGAGCATTAGGAGCGCCAGCCAGGTAAGTCCAGCCCAGACTACGGAATCATAAGCAAATAGGTATGGCTTCAAGTCACTAAGTTTTGGGATGAGATATTTTTTTTTGGAGAGGTTTTTGCTATAGGGCATGTGCGCTCGCCAGAAAGACAGAGAGAGAGACGGAGAGATAGAAAGCGAAAAATCACCCCCCAGGGGGGATGGCCACGCTGCAATCCCTTCTCCTCCATTCTCCTCTTGGGATCTTGGGCATGTACACACATGCACCTGGCATGAGTTTAAGTCACTGGGTCTGGGACTTGAACCACGGTTGACTACATGGGAATTTAGCGACATAGCCATTACATCAACTGCTGGTCCTGGGATGAGATGTTATATGGCGATACTTAAAACACATTTTATACAAAGCCAATTCATTTAACTTCTTCCAGTCTAGTGCATCCAATTTTAAAGTAAAGCACTATTAATAGTTTTGTGATGGGATCAATAGGAAGAATTTTTAAATGGTAATTTTAAAATTTATTATACTTTCAGAAAACATAATAAATTATAGTACTCACACAAAACTTATGCTTTAAGCAAATACCCAAGAGAGAAATTCCCGAGTTAACACTAAAGGGTACTATGGCAGTACAAAATGGGCTTTAAAAGAAATGAACATATTTAGATAAATAATGTAATTCTGATTTTATGTTATTTAAAATTTAACTGATGTGGGTTAGCCCATGGCCTGGTGGTTAAGGTGGTTGGCTCCCACATGGCTGAACACACAGTCTGAGTCCTAGACCTGGCAGCTTGAAAAACATGCGGGGCGCATGTGTGTACACACCTAACTTCTAAAAGCAAGACGTGGAGAAGATGTGGAGAAGACTGTGGCTTGACCACACCAAGTGGGGAGTGCTTTCTGCTTTCCATCTGTCTCTTTCTGGTAAGTATATGTGCCCTATGGCAAAATTAAAATAAATGAAATAAATTCATACATATATACAACTAAACCAACGTACATCCTTTTTCTTTCACTAATGGGACTGGCTTGACTTAATCTACTTTTAAATCTGGCACTAAGCTTATAATATGTTAAAATAAGAAACTGATTATTGAAAAATCACTAGTAAGCTAATTTGTGTATTCTGGTGGTTTTGTTAATATAAAGTTTTATTGATCTTGTAGCGTTAATATATGGGATTGTTAGAAAAGTCATGGTGCATTTTTGCATAGAAAAACATAGGAAAAAACATCACAACTTTCTTGACGACCTAACAGATTGGGTCAAAGCCAAATTCCATATTTATTAATTACCTTGGAGTTCATTACATTTTAGATACCGAGAGAATCAAAATACTCAATCAAAATATAGTTCTGCCAAATAGTATTACAAAGTAATGTAGCATTTGACTACAGATTTTCACAGAAAACCATGTAATCAGAGTAATTCTATAACCTCTTTTCAGTTTATGCCCTCTTTCTTAAGATACACCCCACAATAGACTACTCCCACTCTTCTCTTCCACGCACTCCTGCGTGCTTGCCTTGCAGCCCTAGAAGCCCAAGCAGCCTGGCCAGCCCTGTACAGTAGGAATCTGCAGTTCACGTGCTTATTAACCAGAACCCGACTGTAGAACTTGCCACTCTACCTTACATTCTGACCTATCAGACTGCAGTTTGTCAGAAAGCAGGGCCTATGTGTGACTCTTATTTCTATGCTGCTGACACCTAACACGTTTCTAAAGTAAGTTCTCCATCACTGTAAGCCAAAACACTTTTTTTAGTCTTCTGTCTCATAAAATATAGCTAGCCTTATTATGTCATCAGTATAATTTATGAAAACAATGAGTAATTATACTTGAAAAGAACTAATCACTCTCAATTCTAGGGGAAAG